TGAGCTAGTTCAGGGGAACCAACCATGTGATTAGAGGTTCAGAACTTGCAGCCAACACCCTGACCTCCTGGGAGGGGAGAGGGGCTGGAGGTTGAGCTTACCACTAATGTCCAATAACTTAATCAACCTTTGCTATGTAATAAAGCCTCCATGAAAACCTCTAATCAAATGGGTTCAGAGAGCGGGTGGCTGAACAGATTGAATTACTGGGAGGGCAGCCTGCCTTATCCTGTGCCTCTCCCATCTGGCTGCTCCTGAGCTGTACCTTTTTTTAATAAACTGGCAATCTGGTAAGTAAACCATTTTCCCAAGTTCAGTGAGTCATTCTAACAAATTATCAAACTTGAGGCAAGGGCATAGGAACCCCTGATTTATAGCCAGTTGCCCAGAGGTGCAGGTGACAATTAGGGAGTTGTAGTTGGTATCTGATGTTGCGGGGAAGTCTTATGGAACAGACTGTGGGGTTCTGTGCAATCTCCAGGTGGTTAGTGTCAGTCACAATTGCTGGGTGTGGGAAATCCACACCTTTTGTATTAAAAGTGTTCGTGAGTGGAAGAGAAACAGAGGAGGGTTTTGCTTTAGTAGACACAGAAGGCTTTTTCAGAATTTTAACTTAGCAATTATGGTGAAATATCAGGCGGGTAGAGTATCAGAGTACTGAAGAAATTGGAGTTTAAGTGGTTGCTACAGAGCAGTTAAGAAAGAAACAGCCTCTGGAAAGGAGAAGAAACACTGAAGGTCTCAATAAAATTAAAGAGAAGGACTAATAATCCTGGTGAGAGTGTGTGATGAGGGGAAATTAGGAGGCTGAGGAAAAGGGAAGCTTTATTGCTCAAAATAATCCAACGGGGACAAAAAAATATATGTGTAATGACAAACTTAAAAGTAGTGATAAAACGGGCTTCCAAAAGGGAGTAAACATCCACACTTCAAAAATTTTAAGCTGCTAAATGGGGAAAACATTAACTCAAAAGTTAAATCGCAAAGAAATTTCTAGGAACCAGAAACTATCAAGACCTACATGCCTCTGAACTGCTGCTGGGTGATCATGCAATATATTTCACAACCAACGTCATCATATCCTTTTAGGGGTGTGTGTGTTTGTGTGTTGTTATCTGTGTATCTATCTGTAAGGGGGGATGAGAAAGCATTAGAAGAAAACAACAGGTGGAAAGGAAGAGAACATGGCTACTGAATTCCTTATAGATTTAATTTGGATCATTTTTGTTGAATCATATTTTACTGTTGTGATGCTAAAAAGTTCACTTAATAGTCTTTGACAATGCATACTGTAGGCAGTTTAAAACAGTAGCATTCTGAGTGAATCACAAAACAAATATATTAATACCCACCATGTTCTAGTATCAAACTCTATGAAAAATATATTTACAAAACACCAGTGCAAGGAAGAATTCCATTTCCATCGTCCTCTTTACTGTAGCACATACTAATCATGTATGCACATGTGCCAAGGAGCATGAAAAACTCTTATAGCTATTTATTGGGCTCAGAGTAAAAATAAACTAAAAACCTGAGAGTATTTTAACACTTCAAATTTTATAGCACTTTGCTTTTTTGTGGGAATTAAATCCTTAACTGTCCAATTTTGGAGTCAAAATATCCTGGATGTTTATCCAGGTCATTCACTAATTGATAATGTTAAGCTTTGCTTTCTTTGCTCATTTATACCTATACATTCTAAATACAGTTGTTGCTTTTTTTGTTTGTTTGTTTTGGTTTGGTTTGGTTTGATTTGTTGTTTTGTGTGTTTTTTTAAGTTTATACTCTTAATATAACATGTATTAGAAAATCAACCAAACTTTTAAAATAAGGGAATGTATTGTTTTATGTAATAGGACATTTCAGAAGTAAGTCTGACTTTAGAGTGTGGCCGATTCAGTGGTCCAATGTCACTGAGAAATGGTTTAATTGCATATCTTTGCTCTGTCTTTCATGGTATCAAAATATAGTCACCAATAATTTTTTGACCAACCACATAATTTCTAGCCCAGAGTCAGAGACAGAAAGTGAATCAGAGAGCACATTTTTTCTTTACTCATTGATCAAGAATCTCAAGCTCTATTGGAACAAAGAGGGCAAAGGTCAATCCAAAACTATAAAGCCACTGCAAAGTGCTGGAGATAATCTTTTCCAAAGGAAAACCTAGGTATTGTTAGGAATAAGGAAGAAGCAAGAAATAATGAATAGATCAACATCAATAAATTTTCACTTCTCCTAACTACCTCAAAGGTTATTCCAAGGACAACAACTGTCTTGTCACATTTTACAACACCACCTAATACAGAAATTAGCACAGATATTTGGAAGTACCTGGAGACCTATTTGGTCACCATAATTGGAATGTATTGCTGTAACCTAGTCAGAGATCAGGGATGCTGCCATATAAACTACAATGTATAGAACAGCCCCCCACAACAAATAATTATCTGGTTCAAAATAGCAATAGTGCTGAGACTAAGAAACCATGGTTTATTAGATTTCTCTCCTTTCAGTCTCTGAAATGACTACTTTCATCTTCTGTGAAAATAATAATAAAAGTAACTAATATAACTCTTAAATGGATTTAGAATTCATTAGGAAAAAAATAAGGCAGATATTCAGAGAAGAAAAAATAAAAAAAATTCATATCTATACATACATACTTTTTATAGGCATAATTTGAAAAAGAAACATTTCGTTGCAAAGTGCATACTTTTTATTAAAACTATCACCCAATGATTATGTTTAATTAAGACACAATTTGAAAAGCACAGTCAAGAATTCAGAGGTACCCACTGGAAGTTAAAACTTTGCAAATTTTGTAGACTTTGGATTGAGTGAACTGCTGTAGAAAGGCATTTTTGTTAAGCTACAGTTGTCTTTTAAATTGCTAAAAATCATTGAACAGATAACTGCAAATCTGCTCTTCCATCAAGTGCCAGTTATGATACCTTTTTTAGATATAAACATGGAAAACATAAAGAATGATAATATATCTCAAGGGATATTATAAGTCTATAATTCCTTTAAGGGTGCATGTAATGTCATAAATTGTAGGAGCAAACTCAAGCAGTTTAGTCGTAGGAGCACTGAGACGAAATTACAGCCTTTATAATCCCCTGAGAGGATATTCTTTGGGTATAATGGAAATTGTAGTCGTTTAGAAATACTTTGCTCTCTTGGCCCCAGAAAAGCACAATGGTCATTCTAAGGTTGAAAAACACTAAGCAGGTATCTGAAGAGTGAGTTGAACTGATCATAAGAATAATATAAAAAATATATTGAAGTCATTATGGTATTTACTAAGTATAGTATGGTACTCTTTCTAAAATATGATTTACAAGAGACACCTACATAATTACAGCTATAAGAAGAGATTTTACAGGTGCAAGCATAAAGACACTAAAGTACATATTGCTAAAGCTTTGCCAGCTTTACATTAACTGTATAAAAGACTTTTCCAGTTGCATGAGGAGACATATTCTTTATATTGAATGTCAGTAACTAAATAAGCAAATATAACAGATTAAAAAGAACAAAATTAAATATCATGGGGCGTTGAAACAGCATAAAGTTCACAAAATATCATAATTGTAGACATACTTAAATTTTGAGTTATAAGAACCCTAAGGCATATTGTTCAGTTTCAAAACTCTTGCATTTAGCATGAATTGCAGAATGCACATATTAATAGGAACAAGTTTCCTTTCAATGAGTGTAATAAGTTAAATTTGGTAAACATTTCAAGTATATAATGAATAAATGAATTAAACCAAGCAGACAATAAATATTTTAAACAGATAAGTATGACCTGTTATGTGTAATATTGCCATAATTGTTAAAGTACTCATAATTCTAACTGGTAATTTAAAATATGTTCAATCATATAATTATATAAAAAGCTAATGTCTATAGAATAAATTGGGTTTTATAAATTAAAATAAAGGAAAATAAGTTACTATTAGAAGATTGTATCTGAAAAGGTCAAAATGTGAAAATTTTACATTTATTTTCATCAATTACTTTATTTTTCTTATGAAACATTCTAACCACAAACTTCATTGAAAGATATAATATATTGTGTAAGCAGATCAATACACAAGCCTGTTTAACATCATGTTGCTTTAAATCTGGAATCCAAAAATGTATAATAAATTTAGAGCAGTTTGACCATGGAAATTACTTTTTAAAAATAGCATTTATATAATATATGCATTCTTCCTTCAGCAAATAATATAAATATATATATATATAAAGATACTTAATGGCCAGTGGTCAGAATAAAGAAAATAGATTCTAGAATACTAGGGTCACCAACAGGGAATGAAATTCTACTCTTTGGTTTAAATCTTGTCAGGGGTTATATTTTTACATACAAAACTTAGTTGGCTCCAAAAGACAAATTGAATTGCTTTCTCTAATGACATTTGAAGTTTTTATTGTCTAATAACAAATATCTAGACCATCATCACTCTATTTATTTTATTTATTGTTACATTCTAAATTGCCACTAATGAATAAGCCATTAACCTGTGATTCATGGTATGACTTTTACACATAATCAATATCATGAACATTGATAATTATAAAAGGTCAGGCATTTAGATATTGCATAAAGTAAATACGAGACTTGCTAATGAAGTTTGCAAACTTGTTGCAACAATTTGCTAACTGTTTTTGATGCAGAGGGATTTATTCAATATGAATTTGTTACCAATTGGACAAACAGCTAACCAAGTTTACTATCTGGAAGTGCTGAAAAGGCTGTGTGAAAAAATTAGATGACCTGGACTTTTTGCCAACAATTCATGGCTCTTGCATCACGACAATGCACCAGCTCATGTGGCACTGTCTGTGAGGGAGTTTTTAGCCAGTAAAATAATTATATTGAAACACCTTCTCTCCTCAGCTGATCTGGCCCCCAATGACTTCTTTCTTTACCTGAAGATAAAGGAAATATTGAAAGAAAGACATTTTGATGGCATTCAGTACATCAAGGNGATCTATGCGGTTTTATATTCGGGACTTGAGAATCCAAGGATTTCGGTATCAGCAGGCATCGTGGAACCAATCTCCTGCAAATATAGAGGGACGACTTAAGTTAGGGCAGTGAAGAGATATATACAGACTTTCAACTACACCTGGGGTTGGTACCCCTAACCCCACATCTTTCAAGAGTCCAGTGTAGTTGCTTATTCATTTCTGCTTCTCAGAGCAAAATAGTTATTAAAAACTCAGTATTATCTCTCTTATCTATCTATATATCTATCTATCTATCTTCAATTAATAGATCTATTATCTACCTATCAACCTACCCAACAAAATGTATTTGTTAGCAGTGTTCTACATCATGGAACTAACTGCTTTCAAGCTCCTTAGTGTTCTTTTAAAATTGATTCAGTGGATATGACACCTAAAGCACAAGCAATAAAATAAGAAATAAACAGTTAGGACTATATCAAACTAAAAAGCTTCTGCAAAGCAACAGAAACACTCAATAAAATGAAAAGACAACCTATAGAATAGGAAAAATGTTTGCAAACCACACGTCTAATAAGAGGTTGATATCCAAAATAGGTGAAGGACTCATGCTTCTCAGTAGCAAAAACCATAACAATCACTTTAAAAATGGACAAAGAACCTGGATAAACATTGTCCCAAATAAGATATATGAATATCCAACAGGTACATAAAAAGATGTTCAACATCACTAATCATAAGGGAAATGCAAATCAAAATCACAATGAGATATCACTTCATACCTGTTAGAGTAGCTATCATCAAAACAAAGGGATAACAAATGCTGGAAAGGATGTGGAGAAAAGAGTACCCTTGTGCACTGTTGATAGGATTATAAATTGGGATAGCCAGTGTGAAAAATGGTATGGCAGTTCTCAAAAAATTAAAATTAAAACTACCATATGATCCAGCGATTCCACCTCTAGGAATATGTTGGAAGGAAATGAAAACACTATG